TAGATGCAGTCACGAGAATGCTTAGTTTCAGATTTGATGATTATATAAAGACATGTTAGTTTAATTGTTCTTTTGTTCCTTTTGTTAGCAGATAAGATCCTGACAATGACTAAAGTTTGTCCTAAACCGGAAGAAAAGAGAATGTGTGAAGAAGCAGTGGTTGAACCAATTTCAGCAGATGTGAGCTTTGCTTCTAATCAATTTCCATCTTACAAGTTAGGACCTAATGATCAGATTGTTGATGAGCCTGAGGAAAATGAAAAAGGTCCATCTGTGAAAGATGTTGTTGATAAAGAGACAGGAGATTTGTCTGATCAGCACAAGCGGCTTTCAGTTCGTGATCTCGCTTGTAAATTCGACAAGAATTTAGCTTCAGCTGCTAAATTAGTCGACGAGGTGACACCATAAAGAATTCTCTATGGTCTTATAACCAAATTTGCCAAATTAACATTTTTGTTGATTGAATGTTTAGGCAAAGTTAAATGAGGTGACTTCTTTGGAAGGACATGTTATGCTAAAGAAACTTAGAGATGCTTTAGAATTCATGAGAGGTCGAATGGATGGGCGTAACAAGGAAGAGGTGGAAAAAGCTATCTCCATGGTTAGCTTTTCTTACTTTCTTTACCCGTAAACACGGACACAATGTATCCACTTCTTCTTTTCCTTGATCATTCTGAAACTATATGGTTTTACGCCTTTACGGTGCCTTGAATCAAATGTGAAGGGAGTAAATAATATTATGCAGTTTTTTTTCTCTGTTTCTTGTAGGTTGAGGCTCTAGCCGTTAAGTTAACTCAAAATGAAGGTGGACTAATTCAAGAAAAGTTTGAAGTGAAGAAACTAGCAAACTTCCTCAAGCAGGTCTGTTTCACTGCACCGACCTTTGCTCCTTGTCATATTTGATACATCAACATTTGTAGGCTCAATATATTATATTCTAGCTTGGTTACTTCTTTTAACAGTCAAACTAAGGCTGATAGATCGTGTTCGCAGGCTTCAGAAGATGCAAAGAAGTTAGTAAACCAGGAAAACTCGTTTGCGTGTGCTGAAATCGAGAGTGCACGGGCTCTTGTTCTGAGACTTGGAGGGACATTTGAAGAACAGGAGCTTTGTTCTAAAGCTTCTCGAGCTCTGGGACCGGTATACATCAGTTTGAGTTCGATCTTCCTTTTTGTATGTTTTGTTCTGACATAGAAGGAATAGGATTCTGAATCAAATTTATGTTTTTCATTTCACAGAATGTGGAGAAATTGGTTGAGGAGGTTCAGGAGGCGAGACGGATCAAACGGATGCATAAACCAACCAAGGTCCAACTGCATTTCTTTGCACTTCATCAACTGTCTAACTAGAATCCAAATGTTCAATACACTTTATGATTTTGATTGGTTACATTTAAATTTATAAAGTGAATGCTCTATAATTTAGGTGATGGGTATGCAACACGAGCTTCATGATTTAAAGAGTCAAATCCAAGAGAAGTCTGTATATTCAGTTAAGCTTCAAAGAGAGGTATATTTTGTGTCTTGCTCACTTCTTGTTCTTCCTTTATCAACAAACCCTTCTTTTCTCTAAAGATCCGAAATACACATAGATAGCAATTATCAAGAGAGCCGAGGGGTCCAAGTCCTGTCCATATGCTCTGGATGGTGCACAAAGTCTTGGCTCGTGCCTAAGAATCCGTGCCTCCTCGGATAGTGCTCTAGATATTTCCAAATGTTCAATCCAATGGTACCGTGCAGCATCTGAGTCAAGTCGACGAGAAGCTATATCTGGTATTTGGCGTTCTCTCTTACCTTTGGTTATTATGATGGTCCATTGTAATAAACTTATAAGCCATGAGCTTTCTCAGGTGCCAATCAGGCGGTTTATGCTCCAGAACCATTTGATGTTGGGCGAGTTATACAAGCAGACATTGTTTCTAACGGCCAGAAATTCACTGTTACAACCGACGGTCCAATTAATACTGGTTGGTGTTAGAATAAATAGTTTGATACATTCTGAGTACCTTTTGCAAAATCCTTCATAACGTTTATAATGGAGAAAGGATAATAAAAAGGCTAATTTGATCACAATTTTTACAGCTGCTGGGTTGCAGTCACGCGTTGAATCATTCCTGCGCAAATCTAACAGTGAATTTACCGTATGTTTACGAATTACCTTTTTCTCCATGGAAGCAAAATTTGCATAAAACTTTGTTCTTGCTCTAATATAACTAGACATGTTGAAATTCTTCTCAGGTGATTATATCACAGATGAATGGGCAAGACCATGCATCACGTTCCCACGTCTTTACTGTTGGAAAGGTGAGAATAAAGCTGTCCCGAGGATGGATCACAAAGGCCAGAGAAATATATTCAAACTCCATGCAGGTAATCTAGAGCCTGTGATCTGTCGCTTTACTCACTCGATGCCTCTTTCTTTGGCTTTAAAAAGTTTCTTTCTTACAAGTTTAAATTGTTTGGTAACATTTTTCAGCTCTGTGGAGTAAGATGCAATGCTAATGTTCCTGCAAAGTCATTGTTTTGGCAACCAAGAAAGGGTCTAACTTTCTTGCTAACATTCGAGTCAGAGCAAGAACGTAATGCGGCAATAGTTCTCTCCCGGAAATACGCATATGATTGCAATGTGAGTAAAACTAACCGAAAAAATCCAGTCTTTCTGATTCTTGTTAAGCCTTAGCCTTTTGAAAATACAATTATTTCATTGAAATATTTTGGTGTGAGCAACCATTTTTTTGAAATCATGCAGGTTACTCTGGTTGGTCCAGAAGATTGAGCTAATGAAAGGAGTAACCTTTTCTCGATTAAGTCTCCTAAGTTTTCTTACTAAGCGCGGCGATTTGGACTATCATGTGTTTGTAAAAGAAAGAATATGGCAAGCTTAGTTTGGGATTCTCTTACCGATACAGTGTTGCTGCATAGTTTTAGGCAGAAGCATTAAGTTTGAGGTGATTAGCTCAATTTTTTTTTTTTTGGCATGATCATCACTAGTTTGAAGTGGTTGGCATTTTC